ATTGGCAAATGGGTGATTCGGGATTTCATTGGGAAAATCATTCTCATTATTGATATTTCATTAGAATATGAACGGTTAATGAAAACAATTGAATTATTGTTTTTTTTGAATGAATAATAATACTAAATGGATTTTTCATTGCGAGAATAATGAGAAATGACAATAAAGAATGAAACGAATAATTTTTTAATCATTCATTTCCATTATTATGTCATAATTTTTCATTTTTAATTATTAGTCACTGAGACAGTATTTAAAAAATGTGAATTTCTCAATATTCATTCATCACACAATGAAAAATATTTACATTAGTGATTAAGCGAAAAATATGTATTTGCGGTGCAAATATTTGTGAAAATAATATTTGCGCCGATCTCTGTTTATGGAATTAATATTTAGAATTATTGTATGCACGGAATATTTAGAGGGAATATTTTTTTTATTTATTCACCTCTTTGGTGTTACAAACGTTTTCTTTAATCAGATAAGGTCAATAACATAAAATTTCTTTTCAATTAAAATGAATTTTAACTCTGTTTTAATCAGTTCAGATCGAATATCACATTTAGAGAAAATAAAATTCTCAAATTCCCATTAATAATTCATAAATTCAGGTGAATTAATGAATCGCATTTTTTTGTTGTTCTTGTGATGAAAATGTGTCATCGTTCCAATTTTATTCTGGCATTTGGCTACGGTTTTTACACAGGATTGTGGTAGACAGGTTTTTGTACTGTCGAAATATCACGAAATATTGAATTTCGCTTGTTGCATGGAGAACATTCCGTAGGCAACTGACCGAGGAGAACTCTCTGGCGCAACCAACTTCTTCAATCTGAATTTTTCAACGCCTAGTGTTGAAAACTGTCGCAATAGTATAACCGTAGCCTGTGATTTACCGAAATTCTTCAATTATTTTTTTCGCCATTTCAGAGCGAGTGTGTCTTAACGATCCATTGTGCACTGGCAAGAAATTGAATTGCATTGAATAGACTAATGCAATTAATCCACTCGTTTTTACGACGAAAAATTCAGTCCAAAGGATTTTTTTTCAAATTGGCAAATTGTGGTGAATTTATCTGCAACATTTTTTAGATAAATTCCTCAATAATATGAGTTCATTCACCATTTTACAAAGTCATTGCCAATTTATTTGTGCAAATTAATGGGTTGATAATGATAAACCTCTCGAAAACAATGATAAGCGAGTTAAATTAAGATGCTGTTAAAATTCCCTCAGTTTTTGTACGATACGGGAGAATTTGCATAATTATCATTGCAAATCTTGAGGTTGAATCATTAAAGTCATAACAAGTGCACAGAGCATCTGACGGGGTATCTCTGGTGGCCTCGAAAAGGTTATACTGTTTGCTCAAACGATATTTCGTGATTAAGTTATTTTTTTATTTTCTACATTTGCTCGTGAAACAATCAAATATTTGATATTAAATATTCCACCGCGCGGGGTCAATGTATTTCTACCATCAATTTTTTACAAAGAAAGAAAACTCTCAAGGAAAATAATCGCCATTGATTCAACGTCAAAACCAGAATGCGTTACACAGACGGAAATCGCTTGAAGATTCCCCGCGATATTCTCCCCGAATGGAAATCTCCGACTTGATTTAGCATAAACTCTGAATCTGTCGGCAGCCACCGTTTCTTATCTCCAATGACTAGTCACATAAAATTCACGATAATAGATTAGAACTTTCCCTCGGCGCAACTTGATGTCGAAAATCGTCGTTTCACGTTGGAATGCTTCGAGATTTTTCCATCGCGTTTCGCTGGGACGGAAATCATCGCATTTACCTTACCTTTTTAGATGGGTTGAGGCTGATAATGGTTGAGGTGTCTTCTCTGTTTATTCCCTTGCTGCAGCAACTCCTAATGCCTTGATTAATGGACCCACTGTGGGTGCATATGGATGCATCGTGAAAGCCAGGAAGTCTATTTCCATCCTGGCGAGTCTTATTTTTCCCCAATTTTCAACTACGACATTTCAACTTTTTTTTTCATCACTCGATTTTTGAAAATTAGCCAAAATTTTTAAATTTTCACAACGAAATGAAATTAATTAATGTCACGCAAAGATTCAACTTGTTTTTACTACTAATTGTAAGCGATCCATAAATTATTTTAAATTTAATTTGCAATTAGTTCAGCTCAATCAAATTGTCAGTCTGTCATGTATTTCAACTTTAGCAGCTGAAAAAACGTGCATTAATTTTGAGAAAGGTATGAAAAAATATAAATCAAGTATTTATAGGGTTCAAAATCTGGGGTGTACATTATCTTTATTTTATGCATATTTCTTATAACATGATTTGTTTTTTTATACATTTTGGAATATATATTAATGGGCAAGTCATCGAGGAATAAAAAAAAATTAACCAGATCAACGCCCATTAGATACATTCAATTATTATTTATCTCATTATTCAACCTTTCAAAATAGACAGTTCTCTTCCTCGTGCATTCTTAACTCTCTTGTTCTATTCTATGCTATTCTCTCTTTCGCGCGCGCAACATACGTAGATAATTCTTCAACGTTTATTTAATCATTTAAAAATTTTACTTCATCATCTTAATGTACAAACGGGTTATGATTTAACATTAATATTACAAATAATAATTAATATTACAATTAAAACCATGAGTTGTTAATGAAACAATTATCGTTTTACAATTTTTAATAGCTCATTTTTTTTTTGCTTTTTCAATATTTTTCATCATTTCCAGTGACGCGCAATGCGCGTGCGTCGTTGTCCGTGTGACTACTTCCACTGCAGCGGTGTTATTTGTTCTTATTGTTTTATTTCTCTCATGTTTATTTTCATTTGTGTCTGCATTTGTGTTTAAAACGTGTGTGTCTCTGTTGTGTACATGCCAAGTATTTTCATTTTCATATTCCCATTCTCTCTCATCCCCTTTTATTGTTCGTTGAATTATCAGTTCAAATAAACTTGCGTGCGATATCAACTCCTAGTGCCATTGTAATATCGTTCAGCCAAAAAATTTAAAAAATATCCATATCATTCACCAACCGAAATCCAATGAAAATTAATTGAGACAGAAATTCTTATGTTTTCATTTCACAATTCTTTACATTTTATTCGCTATTAATTACAATTGAAAGAATAGTCTACACAAGAAAACAGAATAATTGCAGTCTCACATTGAATAAAAAATGAGATAATATGTTAACAATCGAATAGATCGGTTTCAAGTAGTTGAAAAACAAAAATAATACATGATTTGTCTCTTAAGTATTAGTACAGGAGAGCCTCACGTGAACTACAGATAATGAGCGACGCTGCCGTTTATACACATGTCTCCCTCTACGTTTTATTCTCCCTCGATACATTTTAAATAATCTCACTATGTTCCCTGTGTTTATCACTCAGTAATTCAAAACATTTTGTTTTTTATTTTTTAATTCACCTTTGATTTTTCGGACGGAGCGTTGCCCAGAAATGTACATTGAATTATAAAATTAGTAGCCCTAGACGCAACGCGAGGTTCTCACTCGTGGCCCCCTCGTGCAGGGTACGAAGCTTCATCGATTGTTAAATTTTTCTAAATCCCTTAGACTTTCAAATAAAAATGAAAAAAGCAGTTTTCTCTGTTTGTCAAGTCTTCAATGTTATCTCTCAGTCAATTTTTAACATTTTAATTCTTAATAATTGGTATTTGGCATCTGAGTTTCGTATGGCAAGAGGGAACCACCGGAACAATCAAATCTAATCGACTATTAATGTGTTATTAATTCTCTAGATATTCTCGTATTGTTTCTGTCTCTTCATTGGACGAGAAAATTAACTGGAATTCACTAGTCACTCTAAATTACAATTTTTCAATGAATTTTCATTCGATAGAGAGTTCCTTAGCCACTAAACGATAGTCTTGCACATGCCTTTATCTTTTTTATGGTTTTTCATATATTTTTTTTAGTCACTTGCATGATCAACATCTGTCGTACTATTAATTACCATGTATTACATAATAATTCGTAAGATATTACACATAATATATCGATAATCATTAGTGTCGAGGTTTTTTTTAAATCATTTTATTCAACATTTTTGTTTACTTTTGCACAGATTATTTGTATTATTTTGTCGGTGTGATCACGAGTGATTTCTTCAATTAATTAGCTTTTTCTTTTAATTCCGCTATGTTAACGGTACCATACATAAATACATAAACACGGATATGATTTAATATCGGCGTATGCATGCGTACTACTGGTAATACGTAGATGGCTAACGTAATACATTGGGTCCTTGTAAAGGTCGTTCAACGAGAGGCCATTGGAAAGGGATTTGCGTTATATAAATAAGAAGAGGAGATAGAGAAGAATAGCGTGAGAAAGACGGGTATCAGGGAATTTTTCAAATACTCCCAACGAATACAGCAAAACATGATTTCAAGCGCACGCGCGTGTCAACCGCCAATTCGCCCAGTCGATGATCCACAGTACGTGCAGAATAAGTAATTCCGTATTACTTAATAGAGAAAAAAATCTGACTAACGGTCATGATTTCATTTCCTGAGGTCGACGGAGTTTATCACTCGTTTATTTTTACTGGATTCTTTACGAGGAGAAATTGTCTAAAGCGTGAATTTTAGATTTCTTTTTGATTAATTAGTTCATTAAACAGCTGTGCAGTTAATTGATAAATTCGATTACTCCCGGTTGCGCACTTTATGTACTCTGATTAATAAGATTCGATCAAACCTGTGGGGAAATATTACAGATAGAAAACAGCATAGTGCAAGAGAAGATGATAAACGATTACACTGTTGGAAATTTTTTGAAATTTCAGTCACAGCATCTGAATTTTTTATGCTGTGAGGTTGAATTTAATTTCAAATGAAAGTGTTCATATTAAATTTCTCGTTCACCTTGAAAATTCAAGAAAATTGGGTTTTACATTTTAAACAATCATTGATTTTTCAATGAAAGCTCGAATTTCCAAATTCTTTGGGAAAATTGAACATCACATATTGAATTTTCAAGGTTTTTCGGTGCGGTATGGACCTGAAAATCGAGAATTACTTGAATATTCACGAAATTAACGGAATATCCAGAAAATTCACATAAATTTCTCGTCATTAAAAATTTCAAGCCTTTTCATTTGAAATTTCAGGAGTAATTTTCCAACAGCGTAAAATGATGAATTTCCAGTAGCATCTCACGCGCTGTGGACGGTATAACGTATGTACGATTGGCCGGTATGTTCTCATGTTTAATGTTAAAAAATAATTTTCTCAATCTCTATGATACACATAAGTACAATGAGCCGAGGGGTCGCGCGCACCGTTCAAAATCACGCTTTGCTCTTTAACATTAGCACACGATATGCCGCGTGCAAAAACCAGTTTGCTGGCTTTAGATTGGGATTTGACTTTCGCTCATATCACCGAGCTAATACGAAAGGAAAAGTGACAAGTCCGAGGGAGGGGAGGGGGAGCGGACAATAATGAAGAAATAAGGGAGGAAGGTGAAGAGTGATTGTTTTGTTCGAGTCAAAAGAAGTGGAAACAGACACAGAGAGCGAGGGAGCGAGAGAGAGAGAGAGAGCGAATGTGTGTGTGTCGTTTTTACGAGAAATAGATTAGCTTGAATTGATCTAACGGGGTCACAAATCGCCGTCAACTGAAACCAGGAGATCGTGATCCTTATTTTTTCAGTATCTCTTTAGCATTAACGTATCAGCGGTTTTTGTGGTCATATATATCGAAAAACTCGGTATCACACATCTATTTTCTTCCTCCCTCCTCTCCCTGTCCACAGCGATATATCGGATTAAACTGACTCAACTCAGTACGTTGTTTTTCATTTTTCGCTTCAGCCAATGCATTTGTATTGTGGAACTTGCTCGGTTGGTTCTCGGCTCTCGGTATTAAATAATTACGGTATCTAATAAACAAAGTTATGCAAGCACTGCTACGGGAGACTAGGGGGGTCTCTACAGGATAGCTCGACTAACACACGCACACGCGGTCTCACCGTATTTCATTGTAATCTCAAGTCTCTGTGGCCCATCAAAACGTCAATGCATTAGTTATGTTTTTCGTAACGGTTCTCTTCTTCATCCCTGGATTCTCGGGTTTATTTGAACGGTAAGTGTTCCGACTTTTGCACTCTTTTTATCACTTGTGCCGTAGTTTCACTGCATCGGCTACCGACGGAAGCGTTTCACGAGGCGAGGATAGTTAATTTATTCAAAAATTCATTCCATGCGGTTTAGAAAGACTTTTTTTGGAGTTTGGGTATTTAATTTTTTTTTTTTTCGTAATTTTTTTACCATCTCTCCCTTGTTTGGACGAACGCGAGTTACGCCAGTCTATCACTCATCACATGGTCGGAGTATCGCCCTGAATGAATCCAATTTTTCGCAAAACCATGTGATTTCCGTTTTTTTTAAATTTTCTTCTCTTGCTTTTTTAATTCTTCAGTTAGTCTTACAACGTAATTTACCTAAACGAAATGTGATCACAGCCACACATTACTATATATGATATATGTATAATGTAAAGCAATTCCTCGCCATCGGAAAGGGTCTACTCCACTTTGACTTAAAAAAAAAACTTCATTATTTTATAAATGCCTTATTTTTTGTTTTTTTTCTTCTTTCGTAATTTTTTTCATCTTTTAATTTGTGGTCTTAAAAATTACTGTATGAAAAAGAAAAGTTATCTCCCATTCTGAATATAACAGCGCGAATTCTCTCTTGGTCCAACCATCAAAACGCATTTTAGCATGTGATTTTAATCGCGTTTTACGCCGCTTGGTGCATGAGCAGTCGAGCCAACCAGTTTTTTTTTTCCAAAACCGCTCCACGGAGTGACGTGTTGTCACTTCATCTGAATTTCATTCGTGAAAAATAGAAATTTTTATCCTAGTGAATGTTGATAATTTTCCTTCGTAATTGAGAATATACATCGATTCATTAATGTATTTAATTATGAATAATATTGCAACTTCTCAGTAAAACATCACGACGCACATTTATATCTCAATTGGCGTAATTTGACAAATCTTATCGACATATTTTGTTAATTTTTCTGTCCTTACTTTCTTTTTTTTGTTCAGTACATCGGGCACTCCAGAGTCTCTCAAATAATCAGGCACATCACAACAGCATCCCAACCGTCTTCCTCTTCCTCCAGACAAATTCCCCTTCGCATTGCCAATTAATTATTCGATGGCGTCTCTCCAAATCATCATTCAACGAGTTGAATTCCTCCGAACAGCGTCGAAAGTACAAATTGAAGAAAAAAAAAAAGAAAAAAGTCTGAGGGCACACGACACACGCGTCAAATCGGAAGTCTTGGCCGAGCATGAGTTCTGGCACAGAACATAAACATCATCTTGACGACTTTCCCCTCCTCTCCCCGAGTCTCTCACGAAAAATGAAGAACCGCGAGAGGAAGAATCAAAGTGGGAAAAGGAACGAAATAAAAAAAAAACAAAAAATCTTGAAATTCAGTCGAGCTCGTACGATGAATAACTTGAAAAAGCGCGTGCGAGTCAGTGGTGTCAACTGCGTATCGGTGTTAAACGACGGCAGTCGTCGTAGTCTTTGTCTCCGTCATCATCATTGACGACGTTGCCTTCATGATTCTGATAATTGTTATGATAATAGTGGTGGTAATGATGTATATGATGATGATAATGATGATGCAGCGGATGATGGCTGTCACTGAGATCTTCACTGACGCCATTGACTTGTCTACGGCATCGTATTGTTGATGTACCTGCTGACGAACAATTGTCAGTGCAATTGGACTGATTATCATTGAGGAAAGCACTGCCAATATCTCCAGCACAGAGTGTTGGTGTCGTTACGACAATGGTATCACATCACGACGAGCAAGCCATCCATGATGTACAGGTGCACGTGTAGCACGCCGTTGGTATGACTGGATAATAAAAGCCACCATTGGGATAACCATTGGCATAAACATAAGTAGCTGGGGGGCCAGCTGGTGCTTGCTGGCTATTGAGCCGTTGTTGCTCCTGGCACAGTACCTGAAAGGCAAGACTCTCAATAAGTGCGAGTGTCTGCCTTCTCTCATGGCCCATCAAACACACCGTCGACTCCTCAACAACACTGTGCAACAACATCAGGTACTGGTACTTGAGCGACTCCTCCTCCGGTCCAACAAAATGATTCCACAGATAATTCTCAAGCTTCGCTTGCTGCTGATTTATATCAGGAAAGTCTATGAAGAATCTCGAGCACATGTAGCGCTCAAGTGTCTTAATATAATCCGGCTGAGATGGTTTGTACATTTTTACAAGTAAATTGCAGTACTTCAGTAAACCACCGCCCCTTATTTCCTCGGGATGCCTCGTTGATATCAGCTTCTTGTGTAAATGATAGAGTGCCTCCTGGAAATCACCATAAACCGATTCACCGACAACTGTCGGATAAAAATTCTCACCAATCGGCAATTTACTGCACTCATAGAACAGCAGTAACGAGTCGAGTACTATTTGAAATGAATCAACTGAGAATTCAAACTGTCGTCTCATCGTGTCCACAAACTTGAGCTCGACATTTCTGTGGCCCCGCGAATTGCCCAGCGATATCAGTGACCATCTGTCACCGTCATTATTCACCTTCACCATTTTACTGACATAGGCTTCCTTGAGGCTACACGTTGTTATGCGCTTACGGCTCACACCCTCCGGCAAAAGATCAAACAGCGATCCCAATACAGCAGCTTTAACTTTATCATAATTACGTCCACTTCCTAATTCAACTGCAAATATGAGATCAAGATCATTGTAGGGCTGTGACTCGGTTGCTAGTACATGTGATGCAGCACCACCATTCAATCTTATGTCTCGCACCCTCATACCAGCTCCACCATTGCTCGGCTCCTCCTCCAATTTACTCCTCACTACAGTCACCAAGTCCCTGAGTCTCACCTCGAGAGTTGGAAAATTACCCCTACCATGAATACTGACAACCTCATTCATAACATCATTCAATCGTCGCACCTGCTCAAAACTAAGAACAGCCAGCCTCTGTTGAGCATCATTTTGACAATCTGAACTATCTCTGTGACACTTGCTGCTATTGTTCACACCACCACCCCCACCCCCACCGCCACCACCGCCAATCCCACTATTTGCATTATTGTTGTTATTGTCATTCTTTACACAACTCTTGTTGCTGTTGCTGTTGTTGTTATTCTTTATGCTCTTGGTGGCACTAATCTGGCACAGAGACTCCATCATCGCCACCCGTCGTAGGCGTTCCTCGCCAATATCCAGGGAGCCACACTGCAACAAAACAAAACAATATTCATTATTCATTAAATAATCGTGTCAATAATTCATTCACAACACCTAGGTAATCCATAGGTATTCGATAACAACACATAAATAACGGAAAATAAGAAACTGATAAAAATGACTGCTACGAAATTATCTCCCAACGATTTGCAATCAACTGCTGACGTAATAATACCGAAACGTGTAAATAAACTTTCACTCTTGAGTTACTCTGTTGATCTAAATCGCGAATATGTATCGGATAAAACGTGACATCAGAGTTGAGGGTAATCGCAGAGGCGCTTCAGATGATCGGTTTGAATAAGCCATTAATCCTTTCAGCATGACATTTCCAGAAGTCTCGATGAAAAAAGAAAATGGGAACGAGTCCTGAACAAAATTCACTGGAGTCCTTTGACGTGCGGGAGACCAACAAGTTGTCTCTGAGCGACCAGCTGTTACTCCATTCTAATCTCTGATCACTTTGGAATAGAGGGAAAACCTACCGCAATCTCTTCGATTTGAGAATATGATTTATCAACTCCAGGGGATGTTTATCGCACGTTGATGAGTCCCGGGAGAGTTCTACAATCACAATTTTGGGAAGCACAGAGGGAGGCGAATTGAATGGGTACCGCGTACTCCGAGAGCCAATGTTGAACTGAAGGAGTGAAAGGCTCGGAGCCAAACACCCGACTCAACGGCACTGCCGTCACTGGTGTGAAGGACGTGCGAGCGAGGAGGACGGAGATAACGAGGAAGAATGGAGGGGCCGAGGGAGGAAAGAGAGGAGAGAAGGGAGTAGAAGGCGGTGGATGGTTCTGGTGAACCAGTCCCCAGAACCATTGTAAAATGGAGGCGAGGGGGATGACGATAGTAAAAACTCCCGGTGGGGGAGGGCAGGGCTAAGTGGACCAGCAGGGTGAAATGAACTCCTTTATTTTTTCAGTTATGAAGTTCTTCGGAATTTAAGTAACGATTTTTATAATAATTCGAGTGCGACGAGGGTGCGAAATGCTTGGCATAAGAGAATTATTATTGTTTTTGAAAATGCGTGCAATTATTGATTTGTTAAGTTGATTATTCTGATATTATCACGGAGTTTTGAGATGAAAAAAGTCGTTCTGTGAGAAGGTCGAAAATATGCTTTCCCAATTTTTGAAATTTTTATAGTAATTACTATGGAAATTACGGGGGTTTATGGGCGCATTCGTTGATTCTCAGTGTTTTCCGCAGTATTTATCATGTTTATATGCAATAAATGGCAAATAGTTGATATAATTCTGTAGCGAAGTGGTAAAACGGTTCAAGTCGATTTTGACTATTGGCCAGTTTTTAGTGAATATCTCGGAATCTAATGAAGATAATTGAATTTTCGTCATAATCTTTTTTGTAGCACTCAGTTTACTCTAGAAAAAAGGTTATTACGACAATTTCATTGTCTCCTTTAGATTCGGAGATATTCTTCAAAAACTCAGCTAAGAGATAAGTCGACTTAAACCGTTTTACCACTTCGCTAGTGAATTATTATGATAAAAATTGCAGGCGGCTGTATTTTTGAGCTGTAATTGCACGTGGATACGTCCATGGTCTTTCCTTCTTTCTCGAATTTTCTAGAAACTCCCAGAATTTCCTCGACATTTCAAGAAACTTCTCGAATTACCTCCACGGAGAGAAATATTCAATAAAAATTACGTATCTTTTTCGTAATTCCGGAGCGAAAGGTGATGGAAATTTTACGGAACTGTCGCGGAATGTTTCTAGAGCGTTCCGCAATTTTTATCTGATTCTCCCGTAAAAAATAACGATACCGTCACTTAAATTTTCTGTCGAAATGTCTAGAATTTTCTAGAATTCCGATAGCGCTGCACATAAGGACCGTTTCCCAAAATGAGTCGATTACGGAATCGACTCGGAAAATTGAGGTGTCACGGTATCGTAATTTTTCACAGGAGATTCAGATAAATATTACGGAACGCTCCGGAAAAACTCCACATTTCGCTCCGGAATTACGGAAAAGATACGTAAGTTTTATTGAATATTTCTCTCCGTGTATTCACGTCAAAAAAATTTCCCCTCTTCCATTTTGCCCGCCTGGTCCATTTAGCCCTAGCCCCCCTGGCTCACGCTTCCAGCGCGTACTATTCGTGTCTATTCCGACTTATGTGTGGATGCGAAATAGTGAGGCTGTGAAAAGGGAGATGACGAGGGGTGGGAAGCACTTGCGCGAACACTCCAGCACATTCTGTGACGTCATGGGGTCGAGCTGGAGAGTGGTGGAGGCGGGCGAAAAGCGCGTGGGCGACAGCAACTGAATGAATGGGGGAGGGGGGCTGACTGGAAAGGGTGGCTTACGTTTTCAGCGTGGGCGTTTAAACCAGACAACTTTTGCCAAGGGGCGATTGAAAATTTTTACACATCCAGAGCCGCCCTTCCTACATTTACTTATCACTCGAGAGTGCTGGCTACGTCATCTGTCTCCTCGGGGAGTTGAAACAACTGTGGGACGAAACAAGTTGCGAGGTGTATCGATCGGGCCACGGTGTCGCCAGTAAATCATGCGGAACTCGCGACTTCCGGGGGATTGGAGGCTTCGGAGTGATGTTGTAAGAGTTTAAGGGATATACCGAGACTACACAGAGAGAAATTTTTGGCAAAAATTATCGTGAAATCCAGGTAAAAATTAACCGGATGGAAGGGTAATTCTGTAGCAGTGTATTTTTGAAGCAACAAATATCCTTGGTGTGGATAAATTTTAATGAATATTCCCGGATAATATTTGTTCTTATTTGAGTAAAAATTGCCAGTACGCGCGGATAAAAATTATTACATATCTTGGTAGTTTTTACAAATATCTGGATAAAAATTACTATTCCAGAATAGTGAAAAATACCAACCTTACCTACAGATTTCTTCCACGCGGAGGTTAATTGGGGACGCTATAAATCGCTGCGATGTCAGATCCGATCAATTAGCCCCTCATGTATAGATATTCCAAATTTTTATTGTTTTCCTCATTGAAGTAGTTTTGAAGAAAATTGCGAGTTAATAAAAAACATTTGCTAGTTATTACTTTTTTTAAAATAAATTTTTGAAAAATCACCCCTGAAAAAAAAGGCGTTATCCCCCCTATTTCATTATTTCCAAAAAATTTTATCACCAATCGATAGCAAATTGTTTGAAGATTTTTGCGAGTTAAGGAAAAATCGTCAATGCACTCCTATTATTGTGTAAATTAACAATTCCAATTTCAACTGAAAACCAGAGTTGATGACCAGAGTTTGTAGCAGAGATGTCAGACAAGATATGAATGTTTTTTTTGGCTCAAATGAAAGAGCGGGTCGAGAAATGGCGTGCAGAAGTCTTTAAAGATGACAAATCTCTCTAAAGATGATGTCTGTTTTCAATTGAAAAGCGCAATTGTGACAACATTTTCCAGTGGGTTCTAGGAGTCTCCCCTGGTTCAACACCATCTTTAGAGGTCCTAGCACGCCATTTCTCGACCCGCTCTTTCGTTTGAGCTCAAAAAAACATTCATATCTTGTCTGATATCTTTGCTACAAACTCGGGTCTACAACTCGGGCCTTCAATTGAAGGCCCGAGTTGTAGGCCCGAGTTTGTAGCAGCGATGTCAGACAAGATATGAATGTTTTTTTGAGCTCAAATGAAAGAGCGGGTCGAGAAATGGCGTGCTAGGGCCTCTAAAGATGGTTTTGAACCAGGGGAGACTCCTAGACCCCACTGGACAATGTTGTCACAATTGCGCTTTTCAATTGAAAACAGACATCATCTTTAGAGACATTTGTCATCTTTAAAGACTTCTGCACGCCATTTTTCGAGCCGCTCTTTCATTTGAGCCAAAAAAAACATTCATAACTTGTCTGACATCTCTGTTACAAACTCTGGTCATCAACTCTGGTTTTCAGTTGAAATTGTTAATTTACACAATAACAGGATTGCATTGACGATTTTTTCTTAACTCGCAAAAATCTTCAAACAATTTGCTATCGATTGGTGATAAAATTTTTTGGAAATAATGAAATAGAGGGGATAACGCCTTTTTTTTCAGAGGTGATTTTCCAAAAATTTATTTTAAAAAAAGTACTAACTAGCCAATGTTTTTTATTAGCTCGCAATTTTCTTCAAAACTACTTCAATGAGGAAAAAAATAAAAATTTGGAATATCTATACATGAGGGGCTAATTGATCGGATCTGCCTGTTCGGTTAGAGGGTGAAGGTGTCGCTAGTCGACGGATCTCTCCTTCTTAGAGAGAGATCCGTTGACCCTCTCTCTCTAAAAAAGAGAGATCCGTTGACCAGGCGACACCTTCACCCTCTAACCGAACAAGCCCCTGGTGGGTATCGCCTGCACTAAGAAAAATGGCCGTCCGATGGTTTATCGTTGGTACTTCAATCAATTACTTTGCAAATCCTCAAGTTTTTCTAAAATATGAAACCATCGGAACTTCGAGTACAACAATAAAAAACAATACAGAAATGAATGAGTCGAAGAGGAACTACTACTGTCAGCTCCAATGTGAGGGTTTGAACAAGTTTGAACGGGTAAACCATCGGTCGTCCATGTTATGAGGGCGATCACCACGCCGCCATCGGTAAATAGCGGTCCGAATACTCCAAAAGACTCGAGTGTTATCGACAGAGCTCAGTCTTTTTACCACGAGACATTCTACTGGTAGAATTTATTGTTTGGAAGGGTAAAAAGAGTCGCGCGCATCTGGTTAATTTTTGATACGCACGATGGATATAATTTAATAGAATTGCGTGAATAAATATTATTCTATAAATTTTATAATAATTATCAGGATAACTATAATTTTTATCATTCACATAGATATTTTTTGTCTTTGTCTATATACATTTTGACAAATGCATAGACAATTTTTCGTTCCTTCGGCGAAAATTACCATACGGAAGGGTAAAATTTATTTTACATATGATAAATTTTATTATTTAACATCAATTTTTGTCGAACTTCCGGATATAAATC